TGTTAAAGAGAATTCAACCAGACGATCATTGTTCTAGGCAAAAAGGAACCTGAATTTGAATGCTCTTGAAAATGAGGATTTAGGGCTGGCACTGTGGTATAGCAGGTGAAGCCCCTGGCATCCCATATAGGCACCGGTTTGAGTCCCGGCTGCTCCACTTCTGATCCAGCTCTCTGCTACGGCCTGGGAAAGTAGCTGATAGACCAAGTTCTTGAGCCCCTGACATTGTAAACCCAGAAGAGACCCCTGGCTCCTGGCTTCGGATTGGCTCATCTCTGGCCATTGTGGCCGTTTGGGGAGTGCACCAGCAGATGGAAGACCTCTCTCTCTCTCTCGCTTTGTCTAATCACTTCCAATTTGTATTGTTTATGTGCTTTTTCCTTTGTGTATCTCAAGGTATGTTTAACCTTCAATTAATGTGTATCATATTCTTGTGAAATTTGTGTTCAGAAAACATTAATTATAAGTGGATATGCTGCAGCCTAAAGTAGTTGAGTTGCTTAAGGCAGCTACACAAGGCCAGGGAGGTAAGCAACAGTGGAAGTCCCACATCTTAGCTAACATGGCATGCAGGAAATGAGTTCCCTTCCAAGCAGCTTTTACAGTACTCCCAGGCCCCTAGTGAAATCTGTGTGTATATCCGTGTTTCTTATTTATTTTCAAGAAATGTTTGGAACTTTATGTCCTACCCAAATCCTTCTCTTCAATGCTCACATCCTTGTTTATCTTGTGTGTGTCCAGGTATGTGTTTTTCACCTTTGGCAGTTGTTTGTTCAATCTATTGTCTGAATTTTTGCCCTAGGCCTTTTTTGGACCATGTAGTACTTAGTATTTAACTATTTTTTTATGCTGTTATATTTTCAAAGAATACATTTCTTGCTATTATTTTGGACTTAATCAGTGTGCTGTCATGCCCCACTGATTTTCTGAAGTTTCTTCACAGATGTAATTATCACAACTCTGTTGGCTTCAGGATTTATGTGCACCCCTCAGAGTGCGGAGCTTCTCTGAACACCTGGGTTCCTCTCTTCCCCTGCTCGCTCAGGAACTCTGCCTTGCTCTGTCACTGCTGGGCTCCTTGGGTCACCAGCCTGCGGCTTCCTGACCTACTGTCCTTGCCTCATCCACCTCACCCCTTTTAAACCCACCCAGAGTAGTGCCCCCAGTTATTCCTATAATTTCACTCTGCCCATACTTAAAACCTTCCAATGGCTCCCACTCCAAGAAGAAAACGTGCCCTCCTTTGCTTGGCATTTCATGCCCTTCCTCATCTGGCACCCACCTCTTTCATCAACTTCGCAGAATCCAACCCTGCATTCTGGTCTCCTAACATCCTTGGCAACCTCTCGGCCTCTACACAGGAGGGAACATCTTTCCTTACTCTGTATCTAAACAAATATGCTGCTCTCTCTTCTTAGATTGTTGAGTTTCTTCTGCCGAATGTGGCATCTTTGGATCCACAGAGCCTGACAGAGTGCTGGATATATACACAATTTGTATGATCAATGAGCACAATGAGTAGTTGAATTCCTGTGGAATTCACTATCAATCAAAAATACAGTATTTACTGATGGCGTTTTCATAAAATATTGAAATGTTTAAGCTGTGGCATCCTCAAATGAAACCTGGCTGGGACATCAAGGGCATCTGTGCTAATAAGAAGGTATTACAGACTGGACAAAGGAAGGGGGTGACAAAACATGGAACGCTCTAGGAAGGTCAGTCATTTTTAAAAATTTCAAGGGGCCGGCATTGTGGCAAAGCGGGTAAAGCTGCTGCCTATAATGCCGGCATCCCACATCGGGGCCAGTTCTAGTTCTGGCTGCTCCACTTATGATCCAGCTCTCTGCTATGGCCTGGGAAAGCAGAAGGTAGCTCAAGTCATTGGGCCCCTGTACCAGCATTGGAGACTTGGAGGAAGCTCCTAGCTCCTGGCTTTGGATCGGCACAGCTCAGGTCATTGCGGCCATTTGGGGAGTGAACCAGCATATGTAATGTTTTTCTCTTTCTCTGCCTCTGTAACTCCACCTTTTAAATCAATCAATCAATCAATCTTAAAAAATTCTATTTGAGAGGCAGAGACAGAGAAGACAGAGATCCCATCTGATGGTTCACTTTCCAAATGCTTGCAATGGTCAAGGCTGGTACTAGGCCAAGGCTGCCATCTGGAATTGCATCCCATGTGGGTGACAAGAGCCATCGTTGCTGTCTCCCAGGATCTGCTTTAGCAGAAAGCTGGAGTCTGGAGCTGGAGAAGGAAATTAAACCCAGGTATTCTGATGTGGGACATGGACCTTTTTTTTTTTTTAAGATTTATTTATTTGAAAGGCAGAGTCATGGAGAGACAGAGGCAGAGAGAGAGAAAGAGAGAGAGAGAGAGAGAGAGATATGTGTCTTCCATCCACTGGTTCACACCCTTGACGGTTGCAACAGTCGGAGCTGGGCCAATCTAAAGCCAGGAGCCTGGAGCTTCTTCTGAGTCTCTCATGCGGTTGCAGGTGCCCAAGGACTTGAGCCATTGTCCTCCACTACTTTCCCAGGTGCATTAGCAGGGAGCTGGATCAGAAGTGGAGCAGCCAGGACGCGACCTGGTACCCATTCAATATACTTTCTATATACATTTTGGAGGTTATCTTTTCAGGTTCATTTTTTTCTAAAACTGCAGTTCTTTTTTTCAGCCTTATGCTAGCCATAGGCAGAGCTGAACCGAGATATAATAAACAGGATACAATATAATCTACTCTTCTCTTCCCTTCCACCCTCCTCTCATGATAGAAGCTATTTCTAACCTTTATTTTTTAGTCATATTCGGATTTGGTATAAAAAATTGGTAAATAAAGATACACATTCATACTTTTAATAAGAGAAATGAAAAAACAAAAGAATTTCAGATGAATATTTTAATTATATAATTACACAAAACAGTTGTATGTGTATCTGTACATATATAGATACATACATAAACTTTTATATACACATACAACTATTTACCAATATGTACTCATACTAGAAGGGATGTATTAGGATACTGGGATTACATTTCTTTTTCATTATTCTGTAACAGACTCAATGAAACATTACACTGAGGTAGGACTATTTTAGTCCTACAGAATCTTATATAAGTGAATTTGTTCAAGAGTTTCTCTGTCAATATCCATTTGTGGGTATACCTCATAGTTCAGTGGTACTTCTTCAACCCAGGGGGATAACTGTATATTAGTCTAGGAAAAGAAAAGATTATAAACAAACATAAAAATTACAGAATAATTCTATTCTCTGGAATTTCATGAAATCATCACTCATGAGGCAAAACAACAGATTTTTATTATGAGTTGGATTAAGTCTACATGGTGCCGCATGAATACATTTGAAAAAGATTTATTTATTTGAAAGGCAGAGTGACAAGAGAGAGAAGTGGAGTGATACAGATGGAGATAGAGAGATCTTTCATCCACTAGATCACTTCCCAAATGGCTGGCAGCATTCAGGTCCAGGCAAGGCTGAAGGCAGGAGCCAGGAACTCCAATCCCGGTATTCCAAAGGAGGGCAGGAGCCCAAGTATGTGGGCCTTGTTCAGCTGCCTTGCAAAAAGCATTAGTAGGAAGCTGGATCTGAAGCTCAGTATAGGGACTAGAAGTGGCACTCCAATAGGGCATGCTGTTGTTGCAGTGGCTTCCTGCTGGTGCTGTGGCACTGTGCCACAACACCAGTCCCTGAATAATTTTTTGTTGTACTACATGATAGGTCTGTGTATTTAGGGACTCAGTTTACTATGATTCTGGAACTTGAAAGAATAAAGAAAATACAGAATCACTTTAACATGGTTAGTTTAATAACCATCATTAGGCTTATTCAATAAAAGCAGTAGAACAATAGGAATACATGGAGAACAAAGTAAAGCAGTTCATGTATCTACAGTGACAGTGCTAAAGGGTTGCTTAAGGGGCGAGGCTAACCTTCCTTCATTGTCTTTATCAAGCCCTTTTCTCTTTGACTGCAAATTTGAGTCTCTGTGTCACAGAATTCTAAGCAACTAAAACTATAGAATGGATTTATTTAAAGAAGTCTGCTTAAGTAGGAAAGCAATAGTTATCAAGAATTTACATATAAAGTTTTCATAAATATTAATTTCTAATGGTTATCTAGACAGATTTATGTATTTAGCATAAAAGCTATTATTTTGGTAAGTGAAAAATCACTAAATTATTCAACACATACAGAAACTGTGATATAAGGTAGACTATAGACTATATGTTTTAAGGAGTATGTTTTTATGAGTATGACAAAATCACACCACGTGTGGGAATGAAGCAGGAAACTGGGGAGGTCACTGGTTTTACCAAAATAAATAAATAAATAAAAACCTGTAGATTATTGTTATAACAAGCATGAACTATTTTTGAAATTCAGATGATTTAACTGTTTAAAAAGGTATTAATAATGATTGTTTAGTTTTTAAAAGGAAGAAACAGGTACTTAGACTGGCAGTACTTATATGCAAGGAAAGCTCCACTAAAGAAAATGATGGTATCTCTAGTAAGAAATACAGCAGTACCTTTAATCTGGGAGATTCAAAGAGCTTTACAAACACTAATTAACCTTCACATAAGTCATTTTATTGGGTTGAACAGCAGGCCTCTAGTCTATTCATTTGGTTCCAGAAGCTTTGAACAACTCCTTTCCTTTTATTCTAAGGAACAAAATTACAAAGTGGGTGTCCTAAATCTCTTTAAAATATTCAAGCGTATATGCTAAACTAAAATTGTGTCCTCAGAAAAACTGAGTAAAGAAGCAAGGGAATATGTAGGAAATTAAGAATTACAAAGCCAAAGATGCTGAGACCAGTAAACCACAAGCCAGTGCTTGAGCTGAAAGGTCTTGGTATTCCATCATCTGTCACCATTTTCAGATAGATCCTTTCTAGAATATCTCAGTAACTGTCAGAAAAAAGCTGGAGAAAAGTTTCAACAGTAAAAATGCTGGAAAAGACATTAACATACCTGAAGACCTGAGAGAGACTCTTCAAGACTTGGCACTGTTACTAATAATGATCCTGGTTTCCTTACATTATGGCTGATATATTCCCAGGCTCTAAAATACATTAAAAACAGATACGTAAAACAATGGGATACCACTACACACTTATTAGAATGGCCAAAATCCACAACACTGATAACATCAAAAACTGGCAAGGATACAGAGGAATGGGAGCGCTCATCCCGTGCTGATGTGAATGGAAAACAGTACAGCCATTTTAGGAAACAGTTTAGTGATTTCTTACAAAACTAAATGTGCTCTTAACATACAATCCAGCAATTGTGCTCCTTGGTGTTTACCAAAGGGGTGGAAAACTTATGCACACAAAAATCCGCACATGGATGTTTAAAGTTGCCGAAACTTGGAAGCAATGATTTTCTTTGGTAGGTGAGTAGATAAATTATAGTATATCCAGAGACTAGAACAGTATTCAGCACTACAAAAAAATGAACTTTCAAGCCAAGCAAAGACATGGATGGATCTTAAATGCACATTACTAAGTGAAAGAAACTGATCTGAAAAAGCCCATACTGTAGGATTTCAATTGTAACTACATGGCAGTCTGGAAAATGCAAAACAATAAAAATGGTGTAAAGGTTAGTAGTTGTGAGGGGTAACAGGAAAGAGAAGGATAAGTAAATGGAGCAGGATTTTTAGGGCAGTGGAAATAGTACGCATGTTTTAAAGCTGGATATATAAAATTTGGACAAACGATTGTGAATAAGATCAAACTTAATTTTAAGAACTAGTATCTAAGTCAATGATGAATGAGCAGTTAAAGCCCCTTAAATTGTGCCTGTATGTTTCAAGATTTATTCATTCATTTGAAAGGCAGAGTTAGAGAGAAATCTTCCATCTGCTATTTAACTCTCCAAATGGCTGCAATGGCCAGGACTGGGTCAGGCTGCAGCCAGGAGCCAGGAGCTTCATCCAGGCCCCCCTGATGGGTGCAGGTGCCCAAGTACATGGGCCATCCTCCTCTACCTTCCCAGGTGCATTAGCAGGGAGCTGGATAAGGAGAGGAGCAGCTGGGATTTGAATCCACACCCATATGGGATGCTGCCATTGCAGGAAGTGGTTTAACCTGCTATGGTATACTGCCAGTCCCTATTTTTTCTTTAAAAAAGGATTTATTTATTTGAATAAATGAGAGAGAGGGAGAGGGAGGGATGAAGAGAAGAGATTTTCCATCTGCTGGCTCACTCCCCAAATGGCTGCAATGGCCAGGCCTGGGTCAGGCCAAAGCCAGAAGTTCCAATGGGGTCTCCCATATGAGTGGCAGGGACCAAAGTACTTGGATCATCTTTTGATGCTTTCCCAGGTGCATTAGCAAGGAGTTGGGTTGGAAATGATACAGCCAGGACTTGAACTGGCACTCTGAGATTTCAGCCATTGTAGGAGGTGGCTAAACCTACTGTGCCACAGCACTGGCCCCAAATTATTATTTCTTAATTATTTATTTTTTACTTTGAAAGGCAGAGGGAGAAGAAAGGAGGGGAGTGACAGACAGGCAGACAGTCTACCCTAATATCCACTAGTTTACTCCCCAAACACCCAGGAAAGCCTCGAGCTGAGTGTGCAAGCCAGGAGCTGGGAACTCAATCCAGGTCTCCCACATGGGTGGTAGGAACCCAGTTACTTTAGCCATCACCACTGACTCCCAGGGTCTGCACTGCCAGAAAATGGAATCAAGGGTAAGGAGCCAGAGCTAGGAATTAAACCCAGGTGCTTCAATGTTGGAGGCTGGCATCTTACCTGCCAGGTTAAACATCTGCTCTCCAAGCTCACAAGTTTTAAGTCAGAACTGGTTCTACGTACTGGAATAGGGCTAAAAGCACTAGGAGTGATGGCAGAGAACAATCATGGAAAAAGAAAGGTCACAGAAGCCAGAAACCAAAGATTAACAACAGTGCACCTTGCAGATCAGATAATAATATTTGATGGAAGGACTTCTGGTACAAAGTTTAATGGGATTAGCCAGCTTTAACACATGATGGACTGCCATGGGCATGCATGTCAAAAGGCAGTGTTTATTTGATCAGTGTAGACATGAGCTGTATTTCTACACTGTATGTGAGTCTAGACAATGTACACACTACTGGGGAGCAAGGATCTGGCAATGCTGGGGTTTGCATCCTTTGCAGTGGGGCAAGTGGAGAGTAGTATCATTTGCACTTAACTCTAGTTACAGCAATGGCTATTAGGGTAAGTTCTGGGTTTTTTAGGGCAAAAATGATAGAAATGTTCTTTTTCTTAGGCTGGATAAAATACCATAGAGTTTGGTAATACATGTCACTGTATTTGAGCCAGAGCTGTTTTCTTGTTTTGAGGTGGTTCCTAAGAATAGCTGGGTATGTTTCTGGTGACTGTCATTGAAGTAGCTGAATCTGTTTCTCTTACTGAAAGGTACCTTTTAAACAAAAAATTACAAAGCTGAGTTGTTTTCCTCTAATGAGATCTAACTTTTCTGAAGCCTGGCCCTTCCAGAGCATTCACTCCGGTGGGCCTTCATACTCTCTGCTGCTTTAGCTTCTCTTCTACGAAATACTGTATCATGTTCCTAATCTACCTCAAAATAATGGGAACTAAGGCTTACACAGAGTGTCAAACAGGCTGGAGAACAGGCTGATGGGATTTTGGTTTTCTCTTATGTACTAACTCTGACAGTGCTTGATTTCCCTGTCCTTAGATTCTGACAGATGATGACTCTTTGGAAGGCAGGTGCTGTGCCATCTATTCTGTTTCATTTGCCACAAAACAGAATTACTATAGGTAAATGGTCACTTCAGTGAGAACGATTCCAGCATCAGAATGCCTTACTGTATCTTTTAAACTTCTCTTACTTCTGCATATTGCCATTCATGATGGAGAGAATTAACCACATGAGGCTGTGACCTGTCTGTAGTTAAAATTCACAGCAGTGTAGTAATTCAGGATAAGTGATTAAATTAAGCCACATGGTCAATGCTTATTTAGTGAACTGAGTAAAGTCTGTGAAGGAATGTATCAAGAAACATTTAAAAACAATTCAAATATGCAGTATTTCACCTATCAAATTTACCAATAGCTTTCCTCATTCTTTAGTGCTCAAAATCTATAATCAATCTCTAGAGTTTAAGTATTTAAGTATTGCTGCCTGCAACACCAGCATCCCATAGGACACCAATTCAAGTCTCGGTTTGAGTCCCCTTTGCTTCTGATCCAGCTCCTTGCTGATGTGCCTGGGAAAGCAGCAGAAGATGGCCTGAGTGCTTGGGCCCCTGCACCCATGTGGGAGATTGGGAAGAAGCTCTGGGCTCCTGGCCCAGCCCTGGCTGTTGTGGCCATTTGGGGAGTAAACCAGCAGATGGAAGATCTCTTTCTCTCTGTAACTCTGTCTTGCAAATAAATAAGTAAGTTTTAAGAAAATAAAAATATTTAGCCATGGCTGTGGCTGTGGCTAAACTGGAGTACAATTTCTGCAAATAAAATCGGCACCATGTGCCACCTGTACATACTACACTATGTTTATTTTTAATAAAGGTTGTGACCCTTTCTGCTTTTTATAGCTTAACTCATTTGGATGTGGTTACTTCCTACTCTAGGGTAACTTGAAAGGTGTGGTGGGAAATAGTTTTTAAAACTGTTTTTGATTTACCTGGGGATCTAAATAATGCATGTATTTGTCATCTGTATGTCTCTATACTTGTTTCTATACTTTATTAGCACTAGTTCCTGAGGTGGTAAAGATTCCTACACCTTGCAGAGGGTGTCATTCTGGACAATCTTCTCCCCTGTTCTGTTTTAAAGTGGAAGTCTACCGCCCCATGCCTGGTCTCCCTGCTGTCTGCTTCTTCTGGTCTTCTCTTTCTTATTCTGCCACAATTCTAAGTGATTAATGACCATTTCCTGCAATTATAACCCAAGTATCTTCCCAAACTTTTTCACACTGAAAAGTGAGTATTTACATTCTACACTCAGTCCTCACTTTGTGTTTACTTTTGTTTGCTGGTTAAGAAAAAAGGATGCTCAAAACAAATGCACAGGTACTTTTTTAGAACATTAATTTACCCTTCCTTTCCTCTCCTGCCTCTCAATTCCACCTACCTTTTCCTATCAGCGTAGATGTAGAGACAAGAAAGCTCCTCTCCAGTCTCTAGAGTATATCTACACTGACAGGCAAAGTAAGAAATTAGCCAGCCAGAATATCAGTGTCTCAGACAACAAACAGCCTACATGAGTTCTCTCATTAGAAAATCCTTTAGGTGTCAGAAAAATGATTGTAGATTTGCTAGTCTTTCCACTACTTGAATAGTGGAAGAAACTCAAGGGACCCACTATTATTACCTTAGCACATTTTTTTAAAAAAGATTTATTTATTTATTCAAAAGTCAGAACTACATAGAGAGAGGAGAGGCAGAGAGGGAGAGAGATCTTCCATCTGATGGTTCATTCCCCAATTGGCTGCAACAGCCAGAGCTGTGCCGATCTGAAGCCAGGAGCCAGGAGCCTCCTCCAGGTCTCCCACACAGGTGCAGGGGCCCAAGGATTTGGGCCATCCTCCACTGCTTTCCCAGGCCACAGCAGAGAGCTGGATTGGAAGAGGAGCAGCTGGGTCTCGAACCAGCGCCCATAATGGGATGCCGGCGCTTGAGGCCAGGGCGTTAATCTGCTGTGCCACAGTGCCGGCCCCTACCTTAGCACATTTTTAAAGTTCAATAATTAACTGCTGTTTTCCAGGTTAATATTCTTATATCCTGCTTATATTCATTTGTATAAGTCTAAGTTACTTCTCATTATTTTGCAACAGGATAGGAAAATGATACGTTATTTCACAGAAAACTAAGGAAGAAAAGATTAAGTTTTAAAGGCCCATTGGGAAGTGATCTCTTCCTGTGCCCTTGACTGCTAAGTGAATGCTTGGGTCACTCAAACAGTTTTTATCTGTTAACAGAATTACAGGTAACATTTTATAGACTCAGACAATCAGAATTTGTTTATATATACATACATAGATACACACACGTTAACACATTTCCTTATTAACAGTCTCCTTACAATTGAGGTTGTCTTAAAAATTTCATATGAAAACATTTCTATCATGTATCTCTTTCCATATGGAACTGAATATATTTCAGTAATAGATTTCTCACTTGAATAAATCACGTACCTGGCCTGTTCTGCCTCATTAAGAAAATATTCAAAGACATTATTCATTATAATAACATCAGCATTTTGCAGAAGTGAGCCCTGGGTACAGATGTCTGCGTGAAGCACCTAAAAAAGAATAAGTGCATGTAAGAGACCAAGGACACCATAACATACAGTCACATAAGGAAAACACGCTGGGGGGCCGGGGTCATGGTGTAGCAGGTAAAGCCTCTGACTGTGATGCTGGTTCCCACATGGGCACTGGTGCGAGTCCTGGCTGCTCCACTGCCAATCCAGCCTCCTGCTAATGCCTGGGAAAGGCAGCGGAAGATGATTCATGTGCTTGGGTCCCTGCCACCCACATGGGAGACCTGGATGAAGCTCTTGGCTTTGGCCTGGCTTTTGTGGACATCTAGAGAGTAAACCAGAGGATGGAAGATGTCTCTCTGTCTCTGGATCTCCCAAGTAGGTGCAAAAATAAGAATGTAAGTCAGTGGCCTACAGTGGATAAAACACATGCATGTACTTTTTTACATTTCTGAAGTCCTCTTGTAATGACATTTCATTTTTTTAAAAGATTTATTTATTTATTTTAAAGGCAGAGTTACAAAGAGGCAGGGGCAGAGAGAGAATGAGAAAGAGAGTGAGAGAGGTCTTCCATCTGCTGGTTTACTCCTCAGATGGCCACAATGGTTGGGGCTGTGCTGATCCGAAGCCAGAGCTTCTTTCAGGTCTCCCACGAGGTACAGGGGCCCAAGGACTTGGGCCATCTTCTACTGCCTTCCTAGGCCATAGCAGAGAGCTGAATTGGAAGTGGAACAGCCAGGGCTTGAACCGGCATCCATATGGGATGGCAGCATTGCAGGCGGCAGCTTTACCTGCTACGCCCAATGTAGGCCCCAGTTTACATGGTTTTATAGAGATATAAACTTACAAAAGTGGAGATAATGGAAAAGGAAACAACAGAAACAGAAATTTCTATGTGAGAACCAAAAAAGAGGGGAGAAATAAAAAATTTAGGAGATTGTGAAAATTCATTTCTAAGCTACAAATTTAGAAAAATTAAGTCACTTAATTGGTAGTACTAGAGGAAGAAATAGGGGAAAATGGGAAATCTGGTTGAAAGCTCCAAAAGCAGCCAAATCTTTATATTTCTGCTTCCCCAGCAAACAACAGAGGTCTGTTCTCTGGAGGTAAATTGAATTTTCTGGCCCAGGTGATGACACCGGGCCTAACTGAAGTGAAGAGTAACGTACTGAAACCATGCACACAGCATGATGAGTACTCCCACTTCACCACTCAGTTCCAAGGCTGCCTGCTGTTCACATATGACTTGAAAGGTTTTCTGTGGGTAATCAGACTGGCACAAGGGGAAGGACCTTAAGATACTTCATCAGACACTTGCCAAACTAATTGACTCCTTTACAAGATCAATCAATAATGAAGCCCAGGGGTGGGCATTTGGTGCAATGTTTAAGCTCATCCTTGGGACACCAGGGTTCAACTCCAGCCTCCACCTCTAATTCCAGCTTCCTGCTAATGTGTACCCTGCAAGGCAGCAGGTGATGGCTTAAGTACTTGGGGGCCTGCCACCCATGGGGAAGGAATCAGACTGAGGTCCTTGCTCCTGGCTTTAGCCTGGCCCAGCCTTGGGAAGTTGTCAGGGAGTAACAAGTAGATGGAAGATTTCTGTCTATGGCTTTCTTACCAAAAGGAATGAATGAATGAGGCAAAGCCTACAATTAATAATCTCCCCTCAGATGCTTAGAGCATCAGTCTGCTTTTTTTTTCACTCTTAAGTATGATCAGACAACCAAGGATTCCTAGACTTCTGAGGGAAGCCCTGTTAAAATACACTAAACAGCAACAAAAACAAATAAAAAAATCAAAGACTAAGCCTCTGAAGCTAGTAAGATTATTTTCTATAGAAAATAATTTTAGAATCTCTTTCTGAGCTGTTGCAGTTTGTAACACCAGCATCGCATGTCAGTTTGAGTCTCAGCTGCCTCACTTCCAATCTAGCTCCCTGATAATGGGCCTGAGAAAGCAGCAGAAGAGACAATCCAAGGTCTTGATCCCTGCCACCCATGTGCGAGACCAGGATGGACCTCCTGGCTTCAGCCTGGCCCCGCCCTGGCTGTTGTGGCCATCTGGGGAATGAATCAGTGCATAGAAAATCTCGCAGTTGCTCTACCTTTTAAATAAATAAATGTGTTTTTTTTTTTTTTAAAGATTTATTTATTTCTTTGAAAGTCAGTGTTAGAGAGGACAGAGGGGGAGAGAGAAAGAGACAGAGACAAAGACAGAGATCTTCCATCTGCTGGTTTTACTCCCTAAATGACAGAAATGGTTAGAGCTGGGCCAGGCCAAGGTCAGGAGCTTAATCAGGGTCCCCCACGTAGGTGTAGAGGCCCAAGCACTTGAGCCATCTTCCACTGCCTTCCCAGGCGCATTAGCAGGAAGCTGGATCGGAAGTGGAATGGCTGGGACTCATATGGGATGCCAGTGTTGAGGTGGCAACTTAACCTGCTATATCAATGCCAGCCCCATAAATAAATCTTAAAAAAAAAAAATCCCTTTTTGTTGATTTGAAGGCCCCTCAATGCCAGTGTGTCTGCAGCTTCAAGGAAGGAAACCTAAGATTTCCAACAGTCATAAGATGGTACCAAAAAACTCTCTACCACAGAGCAGAGAACTGCTGACAGCTACGGAAACCACAAGCTGATAAATATATACGTAAATGCATTGGTTTCTTTTGAAAAGCAAGGGTTTCTTTTATACACCTTTAACTCATCTTCTTATAAAACAAACAAAAGTACTTGGTTATCCACTTATAAACCACGATTCTTTTTTTTTTTTTTTGACAGGCAGAGTGGACAGTGAGAGAGAGAGACAGAGAGAAAGGTCTTCCTTTTGCCGTTGGTTCACCCTCCAATGGCCGCCACGGCCGGCGCGCTGCGGCCGGTGCACCGCGCTGATCCGATGGCAGGAGCCAGGAGCCAGGCGCTTTTCCTGGTCTCCCATGGGGTGCAGGGCCCAAGCACCTGGGCCATCCTCCACTGCACTCCCTGGCCACAGCAGAGAGCTGGCCTGGAAGAGGGGCAACCGGGACAGAATCCGGCGCCCCGACCGGGACTAGAACCCGGTGTGCTGGCGCCGCAAGGCGGAGGATTAGCCTAGTGAGCCGCGGCGCCGGTAAACCACGATTCTTAAAGTTCCTAATTTCTGGGGTTGGTGCAGCAGGTTAACATACCGCTTTGTGATGTCAGCACCCCATATCAGAGCACTGGATTGAGTCCTGACATTCCCACTTCTGATCTAACTTCCTGCTAATGTGTCCAGTAGGGCAGAAGATAGTCCAAGTTATTTGGGTCCGTGCCACCTACATGAGAGACCCGAATGGAGTCCAGAGGCCCAAGGACCTGGGCCATCTTCTACTGCTTTCCCAGGCCATAGCAGAGAGCTGGAGCAGAAGTGGAGCAGCTCGAACTCAAACCGTTGCCCACATGGGATGCCAGCACTGCAGGTGGCGGCTTTACCTGCTATGCCACAGCGCTGGCCCCCCTATATTAGACTGTCTTTAACATCAGAAACTCATTATCTCTGAATAGCCATTAAAAATAGGATTATTAGTGAGATGATAAGGCTTACTATATCTCATTTTTGTTATTTTTCACCTTAAATATAGAAAAAAAGAAATCCTCTGGTGTAACCTAACCAAGAGGATCATTCTTCTATGAACTGCTATTCCTGGAGTCCATAATACCTCCTAAAAGCTGAGAAAAAGAAGATAAAGAACTCTGAGGACTATGGAACTCCACTGCTTACTTTTAACATTCAGGATTTTATTAAATATATTTACAATCAATGTCTAGAGATTCAAAAATGCTGGTACCAAAGTCATAGCTGATATGGAGCAAACTATGAAAAAAAGTTCTGAATAATAAAATTACAAAGAGAAATATGTGAGTGGAACATACTTAAAATAATTCGATTCTAAAATATTAAGTCAACTCATCTATTTCTATGCATGGCAACCAAGTACAGATTAGAAAACTATGCAGAAGATGTATGCTAAGTTTAGCAAAAAATGGATTAAAGAAGACACATTTTAAAAGATACCTTTATTCTGTCACCGAACTGGTATTTCTTTATGACCATTTCCTGCAACTGGCAAAAGTCTCCATTCAACTCTACTCCATAAAGTTGCATTGCTGAGCTGTAAAGATAACCCTAAAATAAGACAGATTGTGATGCAAATCAATTCACATTTAATTGGGGATTTATTTCTACTTAAATTTAAAAATCTGAACTTTAAAAAAATCATTCAATAAAGTAAAAATAAATGAAAGATAAAAACCATCTTGCAGTTTATGAAAAACAACCTCAGAACTTAAAAAGATTCTGATCAAGGCTTTGTAGTATATTAATTCCCATTATGTAGTTAAATTTTTTAAAAAAAGGTTTATTTTCATCTTTTTGAAAGGCAGAGTCACACACTACACACACACACATACACATGCACACAGAGTGACAGAGGGAGAGGGAGAGGGAGAAAAAGAGAGAGAAAGAGAGAGAGAGAGAGAGAGAATCTTCCATTTACTCTTTTACTCCCCAATGCCTGCAATAGCTGGAGTTGGGCCAGGCTAAAGTCAGGAGCCCAGAACTTCATCAGGGTCTCTCACGTTGGTGTCAGGGGCCCATGCATTTTAACAAAACATCATTTACTGCTACCCAGGATTCATCAGTAGGAAGACGGACTGGAAGCAGAGTAGCTGGGACTCAAACTGGGACCCGGATATGGGGTGCAGGTGATTAACCTGCTGTGCCACACTGCTTGCCTCCGGTCATAACAAAAGATTGACTTCTTATTTTTCCTGATAGAACTGGGTAAGTTGGAAATGAGAAAAATGGCTATGTATAGATTCTCTAATATTCAACTTGCGTAATTTCTTGGGAATTTACAGTATGAGAAAGCAAGAAATGAGTTAACTTGTGGGAAATATAATGGAAAATTACATGCCATCTGATGGCAGGAGAAGGCTTGAGGTATGCATTGTTTGTTTAGGGAAGTTAGTCTACTATCTGGCAATTGGCTGATGATAAGCAACTAATGGGTTAGTAAGGATAATTAAGAATTAACTGGGGTTGGCGCTGTGGCGCAGCAGGTTAAAGCCTGAGCCTGCAGCACTGGCATCCCATATGGATGCTGGTTTGAGTCCCAGCTGCTCCTCTTCTGATCCAGCTCTCTGCTTATGGCCTGGGAAAGCAGTGGAAGATGGCTCAAGTCCTTGGGCCCCTGCACCCGCGTGGGAGACCCGGAAAAACTCCTGGTTCCTGGCTTCAGATCACCTCAGCTATGGCCGTTAATGGTCATTTGGGGAGTGAACCCCAAATGGCTCTACCTCTCTCTGTAACTCTGTCTTTCAAATAAATAAAAAATAATTCTTTAAAAAAATTAACTATATATACTTATTTATCTATTTTTGGTTGCAAGAAAAAATAATTTAGAAGGAAAGGTCAAATCATTTTCTAAAGATTTTTTTTTAACATTTTTTAACATTTTAGTGATCTTCAAATTTATTTATTTATTTGAAAGTCAGGGTTACACAGAGAGAGGAGAGGCAAAGAGGTCAGTCTTCCATCCGCTGGTTCATTCCCCAAATGGCCACAATGGCTGGAGCTGTGCTGATCTGAAGCAAGGAGCCAGGAGTCTCTTCCGGGTGTGGGGGCCCAAGGACTTGGGCCATCTTCTACTGCTTTCCCAGGCCATGGCAGAGAGCTGGATCAGAAGTGGAACAGCCAGGACTCAAACTGGCGCCCATATGGGATGCCGGAACTGTAGGCAGTGGCTTTATAGGCTATGCCACAGCACCAGCCCTGAAGATAATTTTCTATCAATCTACATGAAAATCAAAATTGTATCTATAGCGGCCAGTATCATGGTATAGTGGGTAAAGCCACCACCTGGAATGCCAACATCCAACATGGGCGTGAGTTTATGTCCCAGCTGCTCTACCTCTGATCCAGCTCACTGCTAATGGCCTAGGAAAAGCAGCAAAAGATGGCCCAAGTGTTTGGGCTCCTGCTGCCCAAGTGGGAGACTCAGAGTAAGCTCCTGGCTCTTGGGTTCAGTCTGGCCCAGCTCTGGACCTTGTGGCCATTTGGGGAGTGAACTAGAAGATGGTAGATCTTTCTTTCTGTAATTCCGACTTTCAAATAAATAAATAGATAAATAAATAAATATTTTTAAAAATTTTGTATATAACCCACTGTGGATCTTTAGAATATATCTAAGGGTACATATGTAGGCATTTAAAAAAATTAATGACTCAATCAGTGACATAATATGGAGAACTAAGACATCGTATTCAAGTTTATCAACACTGATGCTATATCTGCATAGCCACATTTAGCCATTTTAGCTTTACACTTTTCTAAAAATCAGAAAATTGAGTAGAATAGACAAAATGTGGTAAAAATCATCATCTCTAGTGTTTTCCAAACAAAAATTATCTGAAAAACTACATTTTCTATTATTGCTATCTTTCCTAATCATAAAATTAAAGTTTTAATAGTGAAAAATAAATGAAGCATTAAAGAGTTACCTGTTTCTGTCTAAAGCAGGAAAGATACTGAGAACTGATAGTGCCTATTTCTGGCATGAGGCGCTACTGCTGTTGGCCATATGTTTGAAGATGTCTACTAATCACAACCAGAATCCAGATTCAGTTTTTGACAAAATCATTTGAGGACATTAGAAATCCTCATGATTAAAATAAACAGATATAGGGGCCAGCATCCCATATGGGCACCGGGTTCTAGTCCCGGTTGCCCCTCTTCCAGTCCAGCTCTCTGCTGTGGCCCGAGAAGGCAGTGGAGGATGGCCCAAGTGCTTGGGCCCCTGCACCTGCATGGGAGACCAGGAGGAAGCACCTGGCTCCTGGCTTTGGACCAGCGCACTGCCGGCCATAGTGGCCATTTGGTGGGGGGAGGGTATGAACCAACGGAAGGAAGACCTTTCTCACTGTCTCTCTCTCTCACTGTCTATAACTCTACTCGTCAAAACAAAACAAAACAAAACAAAAAACAAACAAACAAAAACAGATATAAAGAAGCCACATGGAAGTGATGTTTCAGAAACCAGCATACACATTCAAACTCTGAACGGCAGAAAATCAGGGCAGGATGTGTCCCTGGAGACATGATTCACAGGTCTGAGGTGTTAAATGACTTGCTTATCGCCACACAGCTATTTCCCTGGTCAAGTAAACTTGTCAGCTTTGTAAACGCTCTTACCAAAACTCAGCACACTATTTTAGAACAGTACAAAGAAAAAGGAGGGGTTAGAAAGCAGAAGTGATGAACAGAACAGTCAAGTGTTATGAAAGTTCCATGGTTCTATTTTGTTTATTTCTTCATTTGGGTTGCCAGAGACAAACCAGTAAAGAAAATCAGACCCTGGCTTTTGAAACTCCAAAGCCAATGATTAATGATTATCATCAATGGAATGTAGGTACCTGCCTCTGCTATGTTATATTAATCTTATTATTCTGTTACATTAATAAATGAAGCCAAGCTGTCACCTTGCATGGTGGCAGGCAAAGCTGTTGCTAGCAGGAGTAGAAAGTATTTTCCATATGTTGGGTATGTCTGCAAGCTGGACTTTACCCCATAAAGGACTGTGCCAAGCCTGGAGCCGACGTCCACCAAGATCTTTCCTGAGAGATCAGGGAGTACATGATGATAAATGAACTTCAATTCCATGAGGGAGAAGGAGTGAGAAATAAATCCTGGAGAATCAGAAAAGAGTGAACATCAAGCTATACTTGAGTACTAACAATGGCATCCTATACTTCTCATTCTTCCTATATTTTTAAAGTATATTTCACATTTTTTCCTTAATCAATGAAAGCTAATCAGAGTTGATTTAGAAAAAAATTAGTGTGATAAATTTGTAGTCATCCATTCTGAGCTGTATCAGAGAAGTACAAATATTCAATCTCTGGCATTTAAAAGGCCTCCAGGAATAGCTATTCCAATGACTATCCCTATCTCTGTGCCCCTGACTGTGTTCCTAATGGTTTTCCCCATCCTCTTCTCCATGGGACTTGTTGCTGCCTGGGGTGGCTTCCTATCTGCTGTAATACTTGACTTCCACCTTACACCAGAGTGAACCTTAGAACCACCCCATACTGCTGCGAAGAACATGAACTACTAAACACATGACCACTTCTGGAGTTGTGTGATGTGGCAGCACTGACCAACCACGACTGTGTTCTGGAGTGCAAGGTTAAGACATTCCCACGACTCGCTCTTATTTCTTAGTTTAACTGCTACCATTTCTAGCTTCCTAGTCTATCTTATCTTTTCCATCTAATTCCTGCGATGAAATATCTGGGATAGCTTGAGTCTGGTTTTCTTCTGATAGGGAGGTAATCAAAGACTTACTGCTTTATGTTTTAAATTATATAACAGTCAGGAACCAATAGACAGTGGCAAAGAAAATAGAAGCAGGCAGGTTAGTCCTCTAGAAGAGAATAAAAGGGGTCAACAGGCCTCAAAAGTAATCCTTGGGAGGTGGGCTTGACTATTCCAGTCCTTCTCTTCAGGACCTACATCCTCACTACCTTCTTTCCCTTATGAGCTGCATCTTCTCTGGGCTACAGAGTCACCATTAGTGTGCTGTAGCTGGACAAAACCTTTGTTATATGGGTAGGGGTGGGTCCTTCCTGGTAATACTGTTTCAGTCATGAAAGTTATCTGGGCTAGCCTGGGTACCCTGTCATTATTTACCACCTGAAAACACAGCTCTTCTAAAAATCTCTAAAACTCAGCTATCTGTTTTGGTGTTACGGTTATAATCTACTTTTTAGTTTTTCCTCTATTGTTCTGTCCAAGTTTTTTTTTTTTTTCTATGAGTTTAATTTACCTCAAAGGGATTATTCTAAGTGTTATCTAGAAGTAGAATCTTAAATCTATAAATCACAGAAGTTTAATCCCAAATTATAACACTGGCACAATATATTTGTGTTAGCAACATACTCCAAACTTAGTAGTAGTTAACTTCAGAGAATAATATTCAATGTAAACACAAGATTACTACTGACCTGGAGGCCTAGCCCACTCTAAGCAACAACTGTGCATTTAAGTGGGCAGGGAAACGAAGGTTAAAGCAACAGTCTAGAAAACAATATTCAGCTTGAACAATGACTATATTAACAGAAGAGTGAACATATTAGCAGCATTGAGTCAGCGTCATTTCCTGCTTGGTGCTGCGCCTGAGGGGCAGAGGTGCAGGATGCTTCTGTAGCTAGAGAGGTTCTGTTATGTGTCAGGGATGCTTCATTGGTCAAAACATAGCCTGAATAAACTCTTCCGCATGATAATCTGCCTCTGGCCTCTGAGTCCATGCCTTCCTAATTATATCTGATCACTATATGATTTCTTAAAGTAAATTTTTTTAATAGGGGGAACATTTTGGACCCCTTGGAAGTCAAGTCATTGTAACTTATCAGTATGTGGTTTACATATCAATCTCTGTTGAGTATGTAGAGTATGAGTCACTTCTCCTGTATTTAATCAGTCTGATTAGTTTCTGAACCTAAAGAGCCACCTCTGATTATACAGCTTCTAGATGTGAAAAACTGTTTGGGCATGTGTCCTAGGGGACATTAAGTGGCTTAGTGTTCCTAGACAATGTTTCTATTTAGTCTCTCTGACTGCAATAGGTGGTAATGGCCATGCTGCAGGCTGGCCTTTTGCTTTCCAAAAACAATGAATGGCTTAGTCAAAAATTTGCACTGTCATGAGACATAAGAAAAACTACACATAAAGACACAGTATTTGCACACTTGAGTGCCCACCTAAAGGTGCTGTCTGGTGTGAGCCACACACTGTACAGTAGTTTCTGCTCATTTTTCCTTTCTCACATAATGAATCAATAAAGTCATCATCATAAAGGAATGCATCAACGTGAACCGTGGGTTGTGGCTGCTCCAATATCTGGTGGAGAGAGAGACATCAAAAGAAATAAAGTACAAAGAAATCTTTTTATTGCTAAGTAAGGCAAAACATCAGTGGTTCATATGCTGAAATTCTGAGAGCAATAACAAGGCACACAAAGTTTGGATTATTTTAAGCTGGCAACTCTAACCTTACATTTCATTTCTGAGACACTACCAACCTTTTATGTGACCTGGCATGATGCAAAACAGTATGAAAAAGATAAAAAAAATTTTAGTTGAAAATAATAATGGAGACCATCTTGTCCATCTTAAGTAGTACACTTTACAAAGAAATGGATACAGAGAGAGTTCTAGTCAGGAAGGGGGGTAAAAGCTGACTTTAAGACCAGGTCTTTTGAGTCCTACTTGTCAGTGTCTTACCATCAAAATACCTACAAGTAATCCTTATCCAGAAAGCAAAGTCTTCCAAACAACAAAAATGTTATTAAACCTTCATGCTTTTATTAATACTGGGGGTACATAATGTATAGCAAGAGGCTATAAAGAAAAAAAAAAAGTCTGATTCCTTTTACCTTAACTGTAATACAAAATCCTGCTTGGATATCTAAAAACTTTATCTACATACATGCACAAGAAAACTCTGTAAGTATATAAAAATCAGGTATGGATATACACAAGGATAAGGAAATTGAGGAAGATAAAAAAACAGTTTAACTTGTTATGAAAGAAGATTGTACCAATTATTAACATATGATGAACACTTATCCCCCTTTTTTTATATTGTGGCATATCATGACACCGATAAAATTATTTTACTAAGAACATTCAAACCGTATTAGAAATATTTCTCTCTATTTTCATACTATCAGTTATTTTCCTCCTTTGAGAATCCACTCTGAATGACTGGCTACTTACGAAGATTTGCTAAGTGTTCACAATGTGCATTGTACTATTAAGAACGTCTGGATTTAATTCCTCTACTCAGTTACAGGCTGAAAAACCACAAAGAGGATTCTTGTTTTCAATTAGTAGGTAAAGAAGAGAATATTATTTTTATTATTAACCTTGCTTAAAAAACACTATTTGTGGGGCCAGCCCTGTGGCGTAGTAGGTAGGGACACCACTGGAAGTGCTGGCATCCGAAATGGGCACCTGTGCAAGTTCCGGCTATTTCACTTTCAATCCAGCTCCCTGCTAATGCACCTAGGAAAGCAGCAGAACAAGGTCCAAGTCTTTGGGCCCTTGCTCCTGCGTGGAGCAAGGAAGTTCCTGGCTCCTGGCTTTGGATCGGCCTAGCTCCGGCCGTTGCAGCCATTTGGGGAGTCAACCAGGAGAATAGAAGATTTCCATCTCTCTTTCTCTCTCTGTTAACTCAGCCTTTCAAATAAATAAATAAATCGTAAAAAAAAAAAAATTTACATACATATATATATATATAAACCAAAAAAAAACCCAATGTTCATAGCATATGTCTCCTTAAGGGCTGATTTTGAATAAGTTTACGTGAAGTGGTTGTCTAGAGAAAAAAAATAAAAACCACTTCCACAAATAAAGCAGAAAATAAGCCAAAAACCTGGTATACAAAAGCAGAAAGAAACAAGATGAACCTAATCTTGGTAAGAGTATGGGAAATGGAACAGCAAAGAGAAAACCAGGACAATGAAATACACAGATTGTTGGCCTTTGTTGGACCTGGAAAATTTTTGAACTTTTTCTTTTTTTGAGACAGAGGGGACTGGCATTGTGGCATAGTGGGTAAAGCTGCCACTTGCAATGTCAGCATCCACTGTTGATCCAGCACCTTGCTAACTGCCTGGGAAGTGCAGCAGCAGGTGGCCCAAGTGCTTGGGCCCCCGTACTCATGTGGGAGACCTGGATGAAGCTCTGGCTCCTGGCTTTGGCCCTGCTCCAGCCCTGGCTGTTGTAGCTACCCATGGAGTGAACCAGCAGATGGAAGATCTCTGTCTCTCCCTCTCAGTGACTCTGAGTTTCAAATAAATAAACAAATCTTCTAAATAAATACATAAATAAATGATGTGAGATTCAGAGAGGAATTGAGAAAGCGAGACTGGTTCATTCATCAAATTGACAGCTGGACTGGGCCAGGAACAAGGAGCCAGGAACTTGATCCAGGTCTATGTGGGCGGCAGAAATCCAACGACTCAAGTCCTCACCTATGATTCCAAGGGTCTACAGTTTCAGGAAGCTGGACTAGGGAGCCACAGCTGGGACTCAAACCCAGGCATTCTGATGTAGGACACTGGTATCTTAACTGGTGTCTTAATCGCCAGATCGAGTGTCTGCTCCCAGTTTTTGATTTCTGAGTGAGTAGCAAATAGGGTGCTTAAAAAAAAAATTGCTGAATGACTAGTACTGAGAGGTTGAAGGGGTTGAGGACTCAAAAGAATCGGGGACGTGGCTGAAGCACTAAATGAGAAATTGTTTAAAGCTGAAGTTGGGACTTGACTGGAGAGGCTGTGTGGGTAGAGAACAACAGGAACATAGGAGTAACCTGATTCAACTGAATGCATTTACTTTTTGAAGGGCTCGCTGTTCCGAGGAAAGCACGGTGCCCGGAGGTAAGCAATTCCGAAGGTCTTCTGCTATGCTTTTCAATATAATGTCGTTATTCTCTAGAGTGAACTCGTCAAAGTCTCCTGAAAAAGAAGAAAAGCAAGGAGTTGCTCTTACAGTTCTCATGACAATGGATATCTTTTCCATTAGGTGGCATCGTTTATAATAATATACCTTTTAACCTATGACAAATTCAGGTCCTAACATAAATTCTATTTTAAAATACTGAGTTTTTCCTTTTTCCAAACTGCCCATCAAATAAAAGGCACTTTAAAAAATCTAGCATTTTAACTATTTTTAAAATTTTTACTTAATTTTCATACAAGAATAGCACTGTCATTAGTTTTTTCGAAAGAGAACATCAGAGAGGGAGGGAGGGAGAGGGAGAGGGAAAGGAGGAGGAGGGAGGGAGGGAGGGAGAAAGGGGGGGGAAGAGAGAGAGGGAAGGAGGGGGAAAGGGGGGGAGAGAGAGAGAGAAGGAGGGAGGAAAAGAGAGATCTTCCATCCTCAAGTTCACTTCCCAAACGGCCCCAAGTCAGGGCTAGGCCAGGCCAAAGCCACGTGCCAGGAATGCAATCTGGGTCTCCTAGAAGGGTGGCAAGGGCTCAATCACTTGAGCCATCATCTGCTCCCTTCCCTGGGACATTAGCAGGGAGCTGAATTAGAAGTGGAGTAGCTGGGATTCAAACACACTACGATATGGCATCACAAGTGACAACTTAACTTGCTGTACCAACACTATTCCCTTTCTTTTTTTTAATTTTATTTTATTTTATTTTATTTTATTTTATTTTATTTTATTTTATTTTATTTTATTTTATTTTATTTTATTTTGACAGGCAGGAGTGGACAGTGAGAGAGAGACAGAGAGAAAGGTCTTCCTTTGCCGTTGGTTCACCCTCCAATGGCTGCTGCGGCCGGCGCGCTGCAACCAGCGCACCGCACCGATCCGATGGCAGGAGCCAGGTACTTCTCCTGGTCTCCCATGGGGTGCAGGGCCCAAGGACTTGGGCCATCCTCCACTGCACTCCCTGGCCACAGCAGAGAGCTGGCCTGGAAGAGGGGCAACCGGGACAGAATCCGGTGCCCCAACTGGGACTAGAACTGGTGTGCCGGCGCCGCAAGGCGGAGGATTAGTCTAGTGAGCCGCGGTGCCGGCCACTATTCCCTTTCATTAGTTTCTTTTTTTTTTTCAATCTTTGGTTATTTTTTTTTTTTTTTTTTTTTTGACAGGCAGAGTGGACAGTGAGAGAGAGAGACAGAGAGAAAGGTCTTCCTTTTGCCGTTGGTTCACCCTCCAATGGCCGCCGCGGCCAGCGCGCTGCGGCCGGCGCACCGCGCTGATCCGATGGCAGGAGCCAGGTATTTTTCCTGGTCTCCCATGGGGTGCAGGGCCCAAGCACCTGGGCCATCCTCCACTGCACTCCCTGGCCACAGCAGAGGGCTGGCCTGGAAGAGGGGCAACCGGGACAGAATCCGGCGCCCCGACCGGGACTAGAACCCGGTGTGCCGGCGCCGCTAGGCGGAGGATTAGCCTAGTGAGCTGCGGCGCCGGCCAATCTTTGGTTATTTCTAATAAATTCTTGGTCTCCTTCTTAAACATAAAATGATTTATTGTTCAGAATGATATATTCATGTCACAAGTAACATCTGAAATTTGGATGTTTTACAGAAAATAAATGTTTAACTAATATGACACCCTTGTTAGGAAGACAAAGCAAGACACATTTACAGATTAGGAAACCGAGGCTTGAATTCCAAAGTTGCAAAGCAGGCTGCACAAGGATTTAACTGCTGCCTGGCAAATGGACTCCTCTTTTTCATTACACCACTCTGTGTCCCTACTCAGATTCTTTCTCTGCCTAACTTCCCTTTGAACAACAGCAGTTAACACCCAGACTTACTATTTGGCTCTCTGAACTCAACTGGGAAGACCTGTCAGCTCTCTTTTCTCTCCTCACATATTTAGTATAATATTCTAAGCTAGTGCTTCAAATCATTTCTAAAACAAACATAAATCATAGAAAAATAAAAATACTACTCAGATGCATTCCAAATTGTTTTAGGTAGAACTTAAACAGCGTCTTTGATGTAGTCCACCACCCCCCCACTAGGTTTTTTTCATTGTATTTCTAAAATCTAATTAATTTTCCCAAGGTGCTAATTAGTACCTAGTGTCTGCTTAGTTTCCCTCCACCGGTTGACTCTATGGGAGCTTTCATGCCTCAAATTTAATTTTTTAAAAAAGATTTATTTATTTGAAAGACAGTTACAGGCCGGCGCCGCGGCTCACTAGGCTAATCCTCCGCCTAGCAGCGCCGGCACACCGGGTTCTAGTCCCGGTCGGGGCGCCGGATTCTGTCCCGGTTGCCCCTCTTCCAGGCCAGCTCTCTGCTGTGGCCAGGGAGTGCAGTGGAGGATGGCCCAGGTGCTTGGGCCCTGCACCCCATGGGAGACCAGGAAAAATACCTGGCTCCTGCCATCGGATCAGCGCGGTGCACCGGCCACAGTGCGCCGGCCGCGGCGGCCATTGGAGGGTGAACCAACGGCAAAGGAAGACCTTTCTCTCTGTCTCTCTCTCTCACTGTCCACTCTGCTTGTCAAAAAATTAAAAAAAAAAAAAAAAGAAAGACAGTTACAGAGAGAGGTCGAGACAGGGACAGAGAGAGATCTTCTATCAACTGGTTCACTCCCCAAATGGCCACAACAGCCAGAGCTGAGCCAATCTGAAGCCAGGAGCCAGGAACTTCTTTTCCAGGACTCCCACACAGGTGCAGGGGCCCAAGAACTCAGACCATCCTCTGCTGCTTTCCCAGGCACATTAGTAGGGAGATGGATCAGAAGTGGAGCAACCGGGAATTGAACGGAACCCCATTTGGGATGTTGGCGCCGTGGGCTGGGGCTTTATCCCGCTGTGCCATAGTGCCAGCCCATCAAATTTAATTTTAAAATACTACTCACAATAGTGGTTCTTGGCAAGTTCTCTCAATCTATAAGTGGTATAAATTAAAGGAGTCAACAAAAATCCCATATTATTTGGCCGGCGCTGTGGCACAGTAGGCTAATCCTCCACCTGTGGCACTGGCATCCCATATGAGCACCTGGATGCTACTCTTCTGATCTGGCTCTCTGCAATGGCCTGGGAAAGCAGAAGATCGCACAATCATTTGAGCCCCCGCACCTGTGTGGGAGACATGGAAGAAACTCCTGGCTCCTGGCTTTAGATCGGCACAGCTCCAACTGTTGTGGCCATTTGGGGAGTGAACCAGTGGAAGGAAGACCTTTCTCTCTGTCTCTCCCTCTCACCGTCTGTAACTCTATCTCTCAAATAAATAAATAAAATATTTTTTAAAAATCCCATTTTAGGGGCCAGCACTGTAACACAGAAGGTTAAGCCTCTGCCTCTGATGCTGGCATCCCATATGGGTGCCAGTTCGAGACTCAGCTCTTTCACTTCTGATCCAACTCCCTGTAATGCGCCTAGGAAAGCAGCAGAGGATGGTCTTAGTTCTTGGGTCCCTGCACCCATGTGGGAGACCCAGAAACAGCTTCAGGCTCTTGGCTTTGGCCTTGCCCAGCCCCAGCAGTTATGGACATTTGGGGAGTGAACCAGAGGATGAAGATCTCTCTCATTTTGTCTCTCCTCCTCTCTCTGTAACTTTGCCTTTCAAATAAATGAAAAATAAACCTCAAAAATAAAGATCTCATTATAGTAAGATGAAATATTTCAGGGCCTAACTTCTTTGGATTTAATTCTGTAACATATACAGCTATATCAATAAAACAGTCTTCATACAGGCTTGAGTTAGAAAATACAAGAAGATTCTTGGCGTGGAAAGGGTACTTGGATCACGAACTCTTAGCTAATGGTGTTCAGCCTTTAATACACTCAAGTACAGGAATTCTTCCTCAGTCTGAGCCAGAAGCTGCTTCTCTGTAACATTAACTCATATTTTTTCAATTTCAGCCTAAGAGGTATCATCATGTTTAATGTTATATATTTCCTGAATGAGCTCTAAAGCACGCTCAGCTTTGTACAGTACTTTCCAAACACAGAAATGCTAACAGTACCACCTTTTTTCACAACAAAAAGGGAAGCTGAAGGATGGCCTACTTGCCCAGGTCATGCTGGTCAGAGAACGCAGGTCTATCTGAACGGCGAACTCTGCCACACAGCCTCTCTGGAGTGCAAAGACGATGGCTAGGAACAGCTCACCCATCACCACCTTATTCATCTCTTCTCCCCAGCTCTAGCTATGGTTCTTCATATGGTGTGGTCATCACATCCTTTGCCATCTGGCTGGCTGCTGCTATCTTCTATCTTCTGGACTTCCTTAACAGTCCCTTTTAATATGGCCTTGGACTGGACAAAGTTTGGCAATCTAATTCTCTAATATATTACTTGAGCTCTGCTATCATTTTATAGCTTTCTAGAATTCCAACTGCTATTAAATTGGATTATTTTTTCTTTTTTTAAGATTTATTTTATTTATTTGAAAGCCAGAGTTAGAGAGAGGAGAGGCAGAGAGAGAGAGAGAGAGAGAGAGAGAGAGAGGTCTTCCATCTGCTGGTTCATTCCCCAGATGGCCGCAACAGCTGGAGCTGGGCTGATCCAAAGCCAGGAGCTTCTGGGTCTCCCACATTGGTGCAGGGGCCCAAGGACTTGGGCCATCTTCTACTGCTTTCTCAGGCCGTAGGAGAGAGCTGGATTGGAAGAGGAGCAGCCGGGACTAGAACTGGCACCCAAATGGGATGCCAGCACTTCAGGCCAGGGCTTTAACCTGCTGCGCGACAGTGCTGGCCCCAATATAGGATTCTGATAGAGATGGAAGGGATAGTGGTGGCAGTGGAGGCCCAAATGTCTTAACCATGTGTAAAAATCTAGAAAGCTGGAGGAAGGAAGGATGACAATGGCTGTAAACTCCGACCTATCATTGGGGCTTTCCAGCCAGCTCCCCAGTTACCTATTTCTCTGGGAGTCAATCTGTCAGTTGATGTGAGCACCATCAGTCAAATGAGAGACCCTATGACATTGTGTATTAAATCATTTGGTCATCAAGAAAAACCTTCAATAAATGAAGAC